GAAAGGCTATTTTGTTACTGGAAAGATACTGGTTAATAATCCCAACTGATAGAAAAAAAATTAGTTAATATTTGACTGATTATTAAGTAGATATGATAATATCTTTTAGAATGTTTTAAATTACCACTGAATGATGATTTATTAACATAAATTTACTATGATACTAATAGAGAAATAATAACCCTAGTCAGGATAAATAACCAGACCATAGAAATACTAACCTACATTCTGGGTGATTGTCAAGTAGAAATGTTAATATTTCTTAGATTGTCTTAGATGTCTAATGTTTTTTTTTTCTTAGCCCGTAATTAACTAATGTGGGATTGAGGGAAAAGTCCTATAAATCTTGTTAATAAATCATTGTTTAAAGACGGTTATAAAGTCATAATATTGTGAGAGGAGAGGTGAGATAATTAGGAAATAACTTTCAATATATCTCCAATACCATTACACCTTTATGACATGTTCTAAAATTAATTTAGTTAAGTAGGATATCTGAGCATTCCCCCCCACCCCAACACACCTGTATCATTAAATATTGTCCATTAACATTTCAATGTTATTATTGTAGTTAACTAAAAGTTATTTCCTAATTATCTCACCTCTCCTCTCACAATATTATGACTTTATAACCGTCTTTAAACAATGATTTATTAACAGGATCTATAGGACATTTCTCTCTCAATCCCACATTAGTTAATTACAGGCTAAGAAAAAAAAAACATTAGACATCTAAGACAATTTAAGAAATATTAACATTTCTACTTGACAATCACCCAGAATGTAGGTTAGTATTTCTATGATCTGGTTATTTATCCTGACTAAGGTTATTATTTCTCTATTAGTATCATAGTAAATTTATGTTAATGGGTAAACATTCAGTGGTAATTTAAAACATTCTAAAAGATACTATCGTCTCTGCTTAATAATCAGTCAAATATTAACTAGCTTTTTTCCATATTTTATAGAAATCTTGATTCTTCTCTTTCTTTTAGTTCTATTGTCATTTTGTTCATCTCTGCACATTTGAGTACTTCTCTAATTATTGTTTCATCTGCGGGATTCTGACTCATATTTATGACGGTTGCATTGTCCCGGGGGGGGTCACACGATCCCTTTTACGACTTGCAGAGATTTGTTTAGTGACCTGTTCAAAACTGCAACAGCCCTGACCAAAAGGGGCTTGTGGCCGTTTTTCACGCTTAGCGACCATTGCGGCCTCCCTGTGGTCGCGTGATTGAAATTCGCTTGGCAACTGGCGTGTACTTACGACGGCGGCAGTGTGCCAGGGTCACGTGTTCACTTTTAGTGACTGCCTGACAAGCAACGTCAACGGGGAAGCCAGATTCACTGACCAACTGTGTGACTATCTTAGGAACGGCAGCGGTTCGCTTAACAACGGTGGCCAGAAAGGTTGCGAAGCGGGACAAAACTCACTGAACAAATGTCTCACTTAGCAAGGGGAATTTTTGGCCTCCATGGTGGCCGTAAGCGGAGGGGTTACCTATAAAAGTTCAGCGGCGTTTGACCGAAGGCTGTTTTGAATTGAAGCGTTGACCTTAAGATGCTGAAAGTTTGAGATGTAAAGGAGATAAAATCAAAATTAATGCGAGTAAAGTTTTGTTTCGCCGGCNCTGTGCAGCACAGTGGAGTTGCCATGGTAACGGCTTCACAGTACTCCACAAGGGGGCTCCCTCTTCTAAGGGGGGAAATCCAATATTAGAAATTCCTTTTGGTCCGGACATTTTTCCCCTATAAATAAATATCCGGGCAAAACCTGGCTATCAACTAGTTCTGTTTTTTTTAATCCTCCTCTGGTGAAAATCACTTGTTTGCCAATCTACATTATCTGAGAGTAAGAATCAAGCTTCCTCATTCTTTGCAAATGGAAATAGAGAAGAACAGAGTTTGAGGGAGCTTGGAGGTCTTCTAGCCCAACCCCCTATACCAGGAGACCCTCTACAAATTTGGACAAATGGCTGTCCTCAAAAACCACCATCAACGGATCACTCGCAACTTCTGGAGTTCCACTGATTAATTGTTCCCGGAAATTAACTTGTCAGGAAATTTCTCCTTAGTTCTAAGTTGCTTCTTTCCTACATTAATTTCCACCCATTGCTTCTTGTCCTGCCTTCAGGTGCTTTGGAGAATAGCTTGACTCCCCTCTTCTTTGGGGCAGCCCTTGAGATAGTGGTACCCTGCTATCGGGTCACCCCTAGTCCTCCTTTTCATTAAACTAGACATCCCCAGTTCCTGCAACCGTTCTGCATATGTTTGCCAGGGATTGGGTTTGAATAGAGTAAGAAGAAAGGAATAGATGAGTTCTTTCACCTCTTTTTATCTTCTCAACAGCCCGGCGAGGTAGGCTGGGCAGCGAGACAGTGAAGCCAATGCGACGACAACGGGGGTTGGAAAGCATTTTGACTTAGATGGGGGGGGGGTCTTCCTAGCCCACCCCTCATTTTGCACAATTATCATAGTCCTGATTCACCCCTGTCGTTGGCTCGGTTTAGCGCATGATGTAAATGCAGGCCCCTTGTGTGCGAGTGTTTGTGTGCATTTAAAAAAAACAACAACCACAATTGAACAAACTATACTTTGGCACTGGGTATGATGGACAGAAGCCTCGTCCTCTCAAGCAGATTGGTTATTTAAAAATGTCCTTTTTACTTCTAGGAAACAAGAAGAAAAGGCCCCCCATCTTACGAATGCCGTCGGCTAATAAACAGCCAGCTGTCCCTGCAACGTAAGATTTTTTTTTTNTCTCCTTCTTTCTCTCTCTCTTTTTCGCTTTCTTTCATTC